ACAAGCTAACTACAGTAGCTTGTTAATGCGTACAAGCTACTGTAGTTAGCTTGTACGCATTAACAAGCTACTGTAGTTAGCTTGTACGCATTAACAAGCTAACTACAGTAGCTTGTTAACATATAGCTTTCATTGTCATCTGCCTGCTTAAGCTAGTGGTAGAAAGGGACAGAGAGGTGGTTAGGGTGGATGGATGGGTCAGTAGACTTGCCGTTATCTGTGTGATGTAGCCATACATGCTAACACTTTGCATCCCATGCTAACACTTTGCATCCCATGCTAGCTAGCATTAGCAGATAGCTTCCACACCACGTGGGCAAACGTTTGAGGCTAAAAAACAAAAGCCGTGGCTTCAAAATCTGAAGCCAAGAAACCAGTGAGTGACCTCATGATGATAGCGTGGAAGCTGGATCCCCATCTTTTATGTACAGTCTTTGCATTCGAACTAAAGTCGGATTGTTGGGTTTGTAGCAGAGCTGAAAACGTGAACCAAACTAGGCCAGTTTAAGTGGCAGCAAAGTGCAACTTTGTTCTTCTGAAAGGTGAAAGGCGTTGTGCTGAGGACATACGGAGGTGATCAGCTGCCTCTTCAGTGAGTTTTTGTCTCAAAGATGGACTCGAGCATGTCATCTATCCTCAGTGTTTTACTTCTGCTGCTGAAATTTAGGATAAAGTTTCATTTGGTGGAGAGCTGTGTCTCATGTAGTTGAAAGTCCTCAGATTTGAGCCGAGCCCTGCAGGGATCCTGATCACAGAGGAAACATGAAGCTCGGAGTAAAACGTGTGAATGTTTCATGGGGAAGGAAATGCATTTGTCAGTTTGTGTGAGGCTCAGCGATGCGTTTCTGTGAGAGACGAGCATCACTGCGTTTACCGCAGGAGGAGCCCGAGAGGGGACGAGGTGTGTCGGTAAACATTTGGTCGCGTTTGGCACATTCTGGGACAAAGTTTTGAACACGCACCTCTTTAGTAAACTCCTGGGAAAACGGCGAGCTTCCCTCCGTGCCCAATCTTCTCCCCGTCGTTGGATTTGAACAAACACAGTGATCAATGTGCGCCGAGCTGGAAAAAAGCAAAACTTGGGCCTATTAGCGGTTTTTGGAGACCAGGCGGGTCCCTCAGTAACGGGGTCAGGAGTCTGTTGGCCTCCTAACACGTTGCGACTCCGTCGGCCTCGAAGCTGTCTCCTCGCTTCATTCTCATTCGCCGGCCTGCGGCGTCTCTCACTCATTTGAATATTTTCTGGGCTGATGAGGATGCGAGGGCGGCGAACCGAGGGCCGAGAGGGTAACGTAATTGCAGGGGACAAAATAATGACCAGTTGCAGCAAAGTCGCTAAAGTGTGTCATCCATTAAAATGCAAGCGTGTGGCTGAGCACGCTTTGTGGCGTCGGCCTCGTTGGATGTGACAGCAGAAACAAGATGAAGTGAGGACACGCCACAGCGGCGTGCTCAGACCCTGTGATGCTTCCAGGGTTTGAAAACTGTTCAGCACCTCACAGGTCCATGAGCTCCACGTCACAAAATGATCGCAGC